GCCCAATCCGGCTCTGGAATAATCTGGTTAAATTGATATATAATATAGGCGTTCTTGACACCATTATTTACTCCCAAAATAGATAATGAAACAGTTGGGTGGCGATAAATACTACGTTTGAAATCCCTTCAATTTGATTATGTGTTAGTGGTATTCCAACAACTTAATCAAATATTCTCATTATTTGGATCTATTTGTCAGAATGTTCTCACGATAAATATTTAGATGAGGGTTCAAAGTTATTTATTGATTAAAAAAGTCATGAATCTTTTGTAGTGATTCAACCTGAATACGCTATCCAAATAAAACAAAGAAAATGTTGTTTATTTTTCTGCGAAAATGGTAGTGAAAATATGAATAATCTTTCTACATGACGAACTTTCTCCAACTATCGATTAAATGAGTTGCGTATTCCAAAGGTAAATCAAACGGTGTACTGAAAAGCATCGGGCGTTTTCAAGATATTTGAAGAAAATCAAAATTGCCGATTTCAGAACTCTTTTTTTCCAAAATAGAAAGAATGCAAAAATAACCATTTAAATATTTCATACACAATTTCATTCGGTGTCATGAAATGTTTGCAAAGATGTTTTGTTCAATAATGGCCACCTTCAACTTTTTCAAATACGGACCTGTATTTTTACTGTGAAATTTTGTAACCTTTCCTGTACTATGGTCAGCCATGTACACACTTGATGTATTAGTAACCGTTTCGTTTCGATAACCATCATCATGGATCGACCAGTGAAAGAATTAAGAATAAAATAGGACCTGATTTTGACTTGAGTGTTTCGAAAGTCCTTATATATCATTTCACCGTCATTCACCTTTGTATTTCAAAAAAGATGAGCTTTTCAAAAGCTGTCTATCATTCAAGTCGAAGGTTTTCAGCATTACACATTTTCAAGTGGCGATGTAGATAAAAGCTAATCAAAAAATTATTGATTCACCTATTCAAATGAAAATTCTTGCACGAGTGAAGCAACAAAGCAAACTAAACGATAATAAATGTTCAAAGTGTCTGCAGTTACATTGTCTGGCACGTTGAATGAATCCCCTTAGGCCTTTTGAGTCACCTTAAACCTTTTGTTAACATATTTTGTGTAATCATATCACTAGCATTGCAGATTTCCTGTTTCAGGTCTTCCAAATCTTCAGGAGAGTATCGATGAACCTTATTTTTAACATGATCCAAAATGAAAAATCCAGAGGAGTAAGGTCAGTGTACATAACGGGCCACTGAATTAGACCATTGTTACGATTCTATATGCTTCCTTTCTATACGAGTTGTATAGAAATGTTATCAAATATACCAATCTAAGCATTGATACCATAAATTTGTATAACGGTACAACGCTTGTTATCATCACTTCAATAAAAGTGAACATTGCGATTGAACATGTCCATTATTGGTGAACCTACTTTCATCTCTGACCATACTTTTGTCCGGACAATTGTCAGTTATCATGCGGTTCTTCTTCAACAGCCATCTACAGAATTCTATGTATGCAACCATCAGATTTAATACACGTTTCGAATTGTTTTATGGAAATACTAGTGCGTATGGTACGTTATATTTATAATTGGCATATCCTACGACATCAACGACATTCTCTTTACAATCGTGAAATAGGTCGGGTTTGGTAATCTACACTTTAGGTATATAGCTCATAATATCTTTGTGTAGTTTTATTTGCATTTCATTAGTATTTGGAAAAATGAAAAGACAAATTTTGCTAGACAGAGACCGGAAAATCAATGCCTCTACACAGAATCATCATTAGTATCAGGTTGTTTCAAAACTTGTCAGTTTCAATGTCACGTGTTTTGTAGTTCCATATCTCAATAAATAATTATTCTACTGATCGATAGAGAATCAGACCGAATCAGGTTTTTAGAGTTCGGCAGAGCCGTACTCTTACCATATGACCTGAAAGACCACTCACCATACAAACTAATAGGCTTCGTTAAGAAGCTGGGATTATTTGTACGGGTGTGAATAGGTGTGAGCCACAATAAACCCTTGCGGGTTGCGGCTGAGGGTCGAATAGACCCACTAACTTTGGACCTGACCTAACCTAACAGCTCCCATGCAGTTTGAAACGTATTGTAAAAGTCAAATAGTTTGAGAAGTGGATGCCCCACGATTTGAGTGATAGACAGAAATTGTCACGTTTCGAGGCCTGTTCTTCTTTGCTTTTGCACAACCAATACGATCCTTTTTGGATTGGATCATCACGTGGGATGATCTACAACAACAGGAGACGTTCAGTGGTTGGACACCGATGATCCATCCAGGCACTTTTCAAAGGCGAAACTCCACAAAAAAATATCATTGATACTGTATGGTAGTCAGCTGCTGGTGTGATTCACTATAAATTTCTGCAGCCTGGCCAAACCATCACAACAGAGTCCTATTGTGAGAAAATCGACGCAATGTACTGAAAATTGCGTCAGCAGCAGCCGGTACTGGTCAACAGAAGAGGTCCGATCCTGACGATGACGCCCGTCCGCACGTTCCACAAATCACCGTCCGAAAATTAAACGAATTGTGTGGCGAAGTTCTGCCTCATCCACCATACTCCCCAGACCTCTCGCCAACCGAATACCATCTTTTCAAGCACTTCTATCATTTTCCCACCGGTATAACCTTTGCCAATCAATACCAGGCAAAACGACCTTCATCGAATCCCGATCGCAAAATTTTTATGAAGACGGTATTAATGGACTTGTATTACGTTGGCAAAAGTGCACTGATTCGGATAAAACGGACAAAATGATTTCAAACAATTTTTTTTCTGTTTTCAGCAGTATCATAATAATTTCCGATAGCAGCTGAGACGGGTTAGTTGGATGATTGATCAAATCTGGTTTACTTCAGAGATCCATATAATCTCCTACCATTCACCTGCTTCACATCAAAAACCTAGTATATAATATATCAAAAATTAAAATATATTTCTTTACTGATAACAACTCGCTTTTTTGTTATTTAGTGTAAATGTCCAAACATCAGCTGTCAAAATATCTATCTATACCTACAAGAAGTTCAATTTCTCAACCCAGACATGGAAAAAGTTAACCCCTAGGGGTGAAAGTAACAAGTCGAGTTTAACGCCTACCTGACCAGCATCATGAATGCTATTCATCGAAAGTTCACAGAAAGATCGAAACACCTTAAGATTCCGTTGCAGGTGCACACAATGGAAGACATCTCAGAACAGAGATATCAACTTGCCCAGAGACCTATGAGATCATATTTCAGGCCATCAATTCATGTGTGGATGGATTAGCAGAAACCAACCTCAGACATAAATTAATGAAAATATTCTCATACAACTGTGGAAGGTTTTCGCTCTGTTCAATGTTCAAGTTGGAAGTGAACTACCAAAAAGTTGGAAGTTGACTGACTCCCTTGCAAGAAAAGTACTATAAGAAGTTTCATCAGATCATAACTTGTCATTTACATTGCTAAAGGCTTTGCTGATGAAATACTGAATCCCTGACTTCTGGCAAACGCTACCAGGATTAGCCCATTCCAAAGTATTCATACAGTCCGATATAGAATGTGCGGTTCGACTATGTTCGACACACATAGAATAAGATTTTCAGTATTTGGTAGAGTTTCGCTCTTGTCATCTAACTTCAAAGATCATTCCCCAAATAAACTGATAGGCTTCATCAAGAAACAGGACTTATTTGTTGAGTTTGTATTGTATGTCAGCCACAATAAACCCTCGCGGATTGAAGTGAAGAATCGAATAGATCCTCTCACTGCGAGCCTACTTCTCCACTGGAGATCGCTCCACATGTCGTTAGGTCAAAAAATACAGTACCTACAAAATGCACTCGGTACAAGAATTGTTATTTGGTTGCAGCTACACAGTGCGGCTCCAAATTATGCGCGTCCAGTTCGAAAATTCCTCTAACAAATATTTCCTAGTCGGTGGATTAACATATGGGGATCTATTGAATGGGCATCAAGATCATAATATATTTTCAAAAACTACACCTCACGATTTGATCTCCACAAACTTTATTTGAAAAATATCTCACAACATGTTTCGCTAAGACATTAGCTTTTTCAAGTGATTTACTATGGATCTTCATCAAGTAACGGCCGAATCAATCAGAAAATCATAATATATTTTTTTGGGGTTGTTTTGAAGGTGAAGCTTATTTCAATAGACCTGATAATACTGAGTTAGAAGTAATGGATGATGTTCAAGAAGTCATAGATTAGGGCATTGTCTCGCCGTACTGTACATAAAAATAAATGCGTCGTAGCACCGCCTTGTAACGGTAATGTGGGGATCTGCCGTGATTGACCTTCTTTTCCTGGCTACTCGTGGGACAGGAGCAAGTCTACAGAGGAGATGGATGTCGAGCTTACGACTCCAAGTGACCTCTCTGTAAATTTAGATCAGGAGTGAGAGCTTTTCAACTTTCCAACTCCTGATCCAATAACTGAACCTAAAATAAAGGTTTGATGGTGCAGCCAGGAAATGGCTCCTCAAGAGCAAGGTACCTTATGAAACGTCAGGTGTAGCTGACGTGCAAAAACTCTCATATGGGGAGGTTGTCGCGGGTATCAAGTTGGGAATCTTGCACCTTGACTATCCGACTACCTCATTTACGATGAAACAGCTGAGCATATACTTTGTACCTGCCCCGATGGGGACCGAATCAGGTTTTTAGAGTGTACTGGCGTCAATCACTATATGTACTGATAAAAAAATTGAAAAGTGAGTAAGCAGTATGAATGTCGATGATGAAACGTTTTCAGAAAAACCCTGGAGTATTAGGAACCGCTTCATGAAAAAATTTCAATTTTTTGGAGCTACAGGCATTTAGTTCAAATATTGTCTAATCACAATTTAGGCTCGGTACTCTGTATATATATAATCTTGAACTGCTCAATGTCTACAAATATTTCCGGAACCGATTCAGCATAATGCAACATGCCCCAAACAGATTTTAGATAAAAAACGGGAGCTTACCGAATTGACACTTTTAGGTGATACTTGTCCAACTGAGCAGTTATTCACTTGAACAGGGTTATTATTCGATTTTCTGGACATCGTTCCCAGTTCTGCTTTGAAACCTCCTGCTGGATCATCGGATTCTAATGCTCTAGTCAAATAGGAAATGTATGAAGTAGCTAACCTCAAAGTTTTAATCTAAAAAGAAAAATATGAATCAATACATTTCAGAAAGTCAGAGTGGATGAAAAAATATATTGTTTCATAACATATTATCAATGAAGTGGTCAGCTGGGCTGTGTAATAGTCAGAATATCTAAAATTAAAACGTTTGCTATGATTTAACAACTTTCAAATTCGTTAAGCCAAACCATTATTAAGTTACCTTTTTCGAACTTGTATTTAGTAAAAATTGGCAAAGAATCAAACGGGAACTTTTTCTTTGATTAAACATATTTAACCCCGGTTAGTACAAGTTTAGAAAAATATTATTTTTGACCCACTCTGTATGACTAGTTAGGTTACCTTAGACAATTTTGTATCTACAGGAACGTTGGGAATGCATTCCTTCAAAAATTCGTAAGCATTATTTATCATTTTGTTGGACGAGTTTTTGCGATTGCCTTGCTGTGACAGAAAACATAAATATAACTATTAAAATATGAAATATCTCAATTTTGAATTAAAAACATTCAACTAGCTGTCCACTTGAATTTGTCATTCAAAAACATTCAAATACTTATTCACCTTCGATAACTTTGTATCCGCTGGTACATTTGGTATACAGTCCCTCAAATCTGCATATGCATTGTTAATTGATTGTGTCCTTCTCCTCTCTTTTTTGTTTGCTGTTGACCTCCTTTTTACGACTCTTACATAGGGTCCTGAAGTGTGTATATGTGCAGAAACGTCATTTTCTGCGTTTATGGTTGAATACGCTAGAAGCAAAACATCATAAGGTGAAAAAAGAATAATCCTTTATTATACGATTTTTTATGAAACATGCAGGGTACGTCCAAAGTTCCTCAAATGATAGATAGATAGACAACTTGTTGTTTCCTAAAAATTTTCAGTTGTCAAAAAAGGCTTCAGTTCCTGATACATATTATAGTAAAAAAATAACAAAAAAATATATATATGGAGTGGTTGCCTAGATATTTTGAGTAGATATATAACTTACTCGTAAAGATCAAATGCTCTCAGGTTCACGATATTATGCACATTCACAGACAGATTTTGTTCAATGCAATGTTATCAAGATATCAACAAATTTTACTTCATTGTGGTAGTTAGTTTCAGTATAAATTTATAAGAATCTCTAATCTGTGCTAAGGGTTATGTAAACTGTTTTGGATATTAGATCATGCCACGTCGAGTCAGCAAATTTGGGAAGACCTTAATTTTGATCAGAACTCTTCGTCAGTATTTGAATAAGATATTTCCTGGTATATGTATCGGCCGATAGAAAACTGTGGCTTGGCAATGTCACCCGATTTGGGTTCCTTAGTTTGTTTTGTGTCACCCGAACACTGGAATTTATAGAACCCAACCACATCTCTGGATAATTTGCGTCAAATGCATTATTGCAATAACGGAGCATTTCATCGGAATTCCTTTAACAAATACTGAAAATGTTCACTGTGAATTGTAAATCGTTCACAGAACCGTGTAGCACGTGTTTCGTTAAAAATAGCTTTCCTTTCTGCTTGAGGAAGCTATTCTACAGTTTTTGATGGTTTACGGTACCGAATGTTTTTGCCAAAATCAATTGATGAAAGTTTTCTGTCCACTGCAATATTCAGCAGTCCTATCAGTTTCTTCACCAAGAGAAGAAAATTGGACGATCTAACGCCACTTTCCCTCAATGGTGTGGTCATTCCATTTGGAACGGAGGTGAAATATCTTGGCATTGTCCTTGATAAAAGACTCACCCGGAACGCTCACTTCAAAAAAGTTTTACACAAAGCCAAAACTTGGGGTTCAGGTCTCAAACAAATCCATTGGATTTATGTGATGACTGTCCGACCAATGATCACTTATGGTGCAATTGCTTGGTGGCCGAAGGCTTTACAGAAAATGGCCCAAGTGAAGCTCTCTGGCTTACACAGACAGGCTTGTCTGGCTATCAGTACCACACCATCAGCGGCCATGGAGATCCTTCTAGATCTACCTCGTCTCCACATTTTTCTGGAAAGAGAGGCTAGATGGACTGCATACAGACTTGTGCACATTGCTATTTGCACAAATCAATTCAATGCAGAGTGCAACTGATTGTTGGTCGACATTGGAACTCACAGCATTCTAGAAATGACTTCTAACTTTATGCCTCCAACTGTAACTACGAACTGCCTTATAAAGTACTATTCCCGAGTAGAGACTGGATCCTCCGGGAGAAGAAAATATTAAGAGCAGATAGTTGTTGGTTCACAGATGGATCAAAAACACCTTCAAGTTCTGGTGTAGGTGTTTTCAGTCGCAGACCCAGGACAGAGTTATCTACCTGCCTAGGAACTTATGCGATTGTATTTCAAGCGGAAATTTACGCTATTGAATTGTGTGCGGAGAGATTGGATACATTCAACCTCCCTCACAAGTCAATAAAAATATTCTCGGACAGTCAAGCGGCGTTGGAAGCTCTTGGCTCCTACCGAGCAACGTCTAAATTGGTAGCAAACTGCCAAAAACGACTCTCCTCGAAAGGAAGACTTAACAGATTGTCTCTGGTCTGGATTCCTGACCATACTGGCCTGGAAGGCAATGAAGCTGCGGACTCTCTTGCAAAGGAGGGTGCTTCAAGCGGCTTCATTGGACCAGAACCTGTCATTTGGCTTTGCCAAACAAACACTGAACACCTGGATGGCAAGAAAATTTATGGACTTCTGGCAGAATCTTCCAGGATTGGCTCACTCCAAGACGTTTATTCACCCTTCGAAGCTTGATTCCAAATAGTTGTTGGACTACAGTAGGGATGAACTACGATGTCTAACAGGCCTTCTTACAGGTCAGTGTCATTTGAATCATCAAATGCAGAGACTTGGACTGTCGGAAGGCAGTGTGTGTCGCGTCTGTCTGGAAAATGATGAAACAGCAGAGCATATACTTTGTGCCTGCCCCACTGGGGACCGAATCAGGTTCTTTGAGGTCAGCAGATCCGTACTCTCACCATCTGAAAATACCACTCACCATACAAACTAATCGGCTTCGTTCAGAAGCTGGGTTTATTTGGCTGAGTGTGAATAGGTGTGAGCCACAATAAACCCTTGCGGGTTGCGGTGGAGGGACGAATAGACCCACTCACTTCAAACCTACTCACCTACCTACCTATCAGTTTGGCAATTGCATCGTATATGGAATTATTTTCTTGAAAACCATTTTGTTTTCAGACAAGATTTTGAATTCACTGATAATGTTTTCTATATCTTTTCGCTATTTTTATAAAGATGCTTAATTTCGGTGATTTTCAGAATGTCTGGAAATACTCCATAGTCCAGACAAATATTTGATATAAGCAATAAGGGAGACCCAACGTCTTCAACGACATATTTAAGAATGCTTCCTCGTCTTTTACAATTCCAAAGGATTTTTCAATATTAAATTTGAAAAAATCCTTTTGAAAACAAGGAAGATATTTAACTCTTTCTGGACTTTTGGCGTACCCTGTATATATCAGTTGTTTACATGTTGTTGTGATACAATCGTAACCTACATGTTCTATACGGAGTGTATCTATTCGGCGTGGAACATCCTACTTGTGCGTAAATTTGGTATGTACCTCCTATGGCACCTTGTAAAGTATTTGGGGATGGGGAATCAGATCTGGACGGACTGTGGGACCAGAAATTTGTATCGTCGCCCCCTGCCGTACTGCCACCATCTGAAAAAAAGACTTATTTAAATGAATAAATTGAATGACTTGGAAACTGGTTTGATTTTTGATTTATCTTGGATTGTCTGTTAACTCCTCTCTTAACTTGGAACATGCACTACTATTCAGTACAATTACTGAATTGATGAAGTATAAACACCTTTTCTTCGCAACATATCCTTTTGCTTTCTTTCGAATCACATTCATTTTACCAATAATTTCATTTCTAAAGAATAATCTTAATTAATAAGGTCCTAGATCTATATATTGAATGTTCGAACCTCCCACATGTTTTAAAGGGATCATACTGTTTTTTTAAGAAAACACAAGCACTACAGGAAAATCCTTAAGGCGCTCTAAGAGCGGTGCCTGTGCGAAAGTACCGATTCATATTGGATTTGAATTGCTGGAGATTAAATCTATTTGGAAAAATGTTCATAGGAAATGTATTCAACATGAACGCATTTCTCCAAATGGAAGAGTTCTCAAACAATAACGTTCGAGGTGCACTGAGTTGAACCTAAAAACGATGAGCAGCCACAGTCTGTCGCGTATTTCTGATAATAAACCGATCTTGGTGGAATCAAACGTACCAAGTCACTTGAACACTTTCCGTGTTCTATAATTTATTCGATGTTCCAGACTATCAAGGTTGCAAGTGATGTTCGCGTGTCTAATCAGGAGGATGGCTCTTTTCTGGATGGACTTTATTTTCTGCATCGACAGATTTGGAATCTATTAAAAACAAAGTTTTTGGGAACACTAAAGGTCACTGGATGAGAGCAAATATGTTTCGTTGCTAAGACTTTGAGACATATCTTTCTTCCTCGCAATGAACGCACATACCGCTGATACCGCAAAACGTTTGGTACTTTAGGTTCCATTCAACCACGGCCTACTAGCCCGGATTTTGTTCTCTTAAATTGTGACTCTGGCCATGAAACCCTATGTTCTTATATTATATGTATGTCTGGCTGCCTGTCTGTCTTTCTGTCTGTATGCCTGCCTTCCTCCTATCCTCAGCCAAATTTTCAGAGATTTGAATACCTACTCTGATTAAAATCTGGGAGTTTGGAGAACATGTAAGAAATATAACAATCATATGAATGATATGTTCTAAGAACGACTTCAAATATGCCAAATATGTTCATTATAATAACTTTATAGATTTGAATTTGGGGTGTGACATATCGAAGCCATGCATGTAACAGTCAATGTTCATATTGTTCATGCACCAGAATCATGTAAACTTTTCATTAATTTTTACACTAGAGACACTTTCTATATTCCTTGAGAATATATAGATTATTTATCAAAGAAACGACATCTGCTACAATACCTCTCATAAAAAGTAATGTAGGTGATTTGTTTTAGTTATAATGTTTCATTTATGTAGAGAGAACTTTTTGGATTGATTTATTCCGTGAAAAATGAAATGATATATCGATTCATCAAATTCACAAATTGGATGTACAGTTGTAAAAAAAACATAGTGAACATATTCATTCCTTCACTGCCTCTCTACCCTTGTATATGCCGCCGGTGTAACCCCTGACAATCCAAAATCTGAACCCGCAACTGCCTATAACATAGCAACGAACAATTCTGGGATGAATATGTCTGTCTATCCTCAACGAGAAAGTAGCGACTATTGCTCTGTAGTTTATTTAGATAACGCCTTTTGACGAAAATAACTTCTTTAGTACTATACACGGCGAAGTTCATAAAAGTTGATAAATAAACATTATCTTTGTGGTACGGCTTACTACTCACATAAAGACGTTATGGTGATTTGGGACATGTTTTCAAGTTTTTATTTATCGTACAATCGTTGAAATGAAAAATTATTGAAGATTTCATTTTACTACAATATAGCTTGAAGTAATCACGACGTTAAATATTAAGAAAATAAATATTTCGAAATTAAATTTTAAAGCATTCCTCTATAATCGTTCCTACATAATAGTATCTGGTGAATGCCTGCCGGAAAACAGTTACTTCCCAGCTAATACATCGAATAGGAGTTTGCAGGAGTATCGACTTTTGGCATTACACATGAATCTTATAGCCTGCATTTGAGTTTTGCAACATACTCCCCAGAGAGGAATTCATACCTTAAATGTGACTCAACAAATGAGAAATAAGCCGATTTAGCAGCAAACAAACCAAGATCCTTATATGTTATTCTCACTGCAAAACACCCTGAAGCTAGCTTTTTATTGAGGATTACAAGATGATCGGCGAATTTGAGTTTATTGTCAATTAATACCCCCAAAAATTTAGTACTAGGTCTGTTTTCAATTATCCTGTCCGCGTCCTGTGTTGGTAAAGGAATGCTGTCAATATGGCAGCGAAATGATATTAAATTTGTTTTGGAAACATCGAAAGACAGCAGATTAGAGTCGCACCACTTTTTTATTTTTTTTATATCTGCACTTATATTCTCGTGTAGATTACATGAAGTTTTATCACGCCACAATATTGTGGTGTCATCAGCAAATAGGGTGAATTTCCCTTTTATATCGATAGATGCTAAATCGTGTATGTATAGCAGGAAAAGTATCGGTCCTAGTATTGGACCTTGTGGTACACCATTTTTTATTTCGCTTTCTGATGAGGATGATGAGGTTTTCACAATCTGAATTCTTTCTGTGAGATAATTTTCGAACCACTTGTGACTAATTCCACGGATGCCATAGTGATATAGTTTTTTCAGTAGTATTTCATGATCTACACAGTCAAAGGATTTAGAAAAGTCACAGAACACTGCTGCTGATGACTCTTTTTTATTAATATTTCCATAAAAGTCATATAACAAAGAAAAGATAACATCATGGGTTTTCTTTTTTGATTGAAAGCCGAACTGGTTGTTGCTTGACACTATTATTATTTGAAAAATAATAATAGTGTCATAATAGTGTCATAAGCAACAACAAGAGAATAATTTTGTAGTCAATCGAAATCAATCAAGTAGATCACTCACAGACCGGTTATTTCGGTCTAGGTTAGGTTAGGTCCAAAGTGAGTGGGTCTATCCTATATCTATATCTAAACCCTCAAGGGTTTATTGTGGCTCACACCTATTAACACTCGACCAAATAAACCCAGCTTCTTAACGAAGCTGATTAGTTTGTATGGTGAGTGGTTTTTCAGGTCAGATGAAAAGAGTACGGCTCTGCCGAACTCTAAGAACCTGATTCGGTCCCCGGCGGGGCAGGCACGAAGTATGTGCTCTGCTGTTTCATCATTTTTCAAATAGAGGCGACACACACTGTCTTCCGACAGTCCGAGTCTCTGCATATGATCATTCAAATGACACTGACATGTGAGAACGCTTGTTAGACATCGTAGTTCATCTCTACTGTAGTTCATCCCTACTGTAGTTCAATAACTGTTTGGTATCAAGCTTCGAAGGGTGAATAAATGCCTTGGAGTGAGCCAATCCTGGAAGATTCTGCCAGAAGTCCATAAATGTTCTTGCCATCCAGGTTTTCAATCTTTGTTTGGCAAAGCCTAAAGCGATGTCAATGACAGGTTCTGGTCCGATGCAGTTTCTTGCAGCACCATCCTTTATAAGGGAGTCAGCAGCCGCATTGCCTTCCAGGCCAGTATGGCCAGGAATCCAGACCAGAGACAATCTGTTGAATCTTCCTATCGAGGAAAGTCATTTGAAAATGAGGCATTCATTTCATTCATAACAGTACGACTTTATGTATGTCACGATGATAGTATATAAAGATATTCATACGATTATTTAACTCAATCCCAGCAATAGGAATCTTGTTTAACGGTAAAGGTGAAGGAGATACGAGGTCCGGCTATTTTTCCTCGAGTGCCAAAACACGTTTTCGCTACTAATATGGTATTTGTGCAGTAGCGGTTTGAGAAGAATGTGTTTTTTTCTCGTGCCGAACACCATGTGTGAAAAACAGGAGCAACGTATCAATCTCAAATTTCTCGTTAAATTGAAAAAAAACTCCGACTGAGTGCTATAAATTGTTGCAAGAGACCTATGAGGACAATTCTCTATCTCGTGCGCATGTTTTTGAGTGGTGTAAGCGCTTCAGTGAGGTCCGAGAGAGCACTGAAGGTGACAAGCGCCCAGATCACCCTGTCACTGTTTCAAATCCGGAAACAGTGACCAAAACCAACCAAATTGTGCGTGCAGATCGTCGAATGAACATCCGGATGATTGTCGAGACTGTAAACGCCGATAATGAAACGATTAGAAAAATTTTACACGAGGAATTACACATGACAAAAGTCTGTGCGAAATTGGTGCCAAAAAATCTGACTCCTGACCAAAAGCTCTTGCGTCAACAGGTCTGCTTAGATTTCCTTGAAAGGTTAGAAGAAGATGCCGGACTGAGGAAGAACATAATTACTTGCGATGAAACGTGGATTTTTCAATGAAATGTTGACATAAGGCGGCAATCGATGCATTGGAAGACGCCTGAATCGCCCAGAATCAAACAAGCAAGGTTGTCAAAATCAAAATTCAAGGCAATGTTGATCGTTTTTTCGACATTAACGGTATCGTGGTGACTGAATGGGTTCCAGAAGGTCAGACTGTCAACTAAACTTACTATTTGTCAGTTTTGGCAACACTGCGAGAACGAGTTCGTAAGAAACGGCGCGGGTTGTGGAAGAACACCACAACCCGGGCCAGAACAACGCACCGGCCCATAACGCACTTTCTGTGAAGCAGTATTTGGCCGATAAACGCACTCCAGTGCTCGAACACGCGAGGGATTCGCCAGATTTGGCACCGTGCGATTTTTTTTGTTCCCGAAGTTGAAGACTGCTTTGAAAGGGACCCGATTTGAGTCGATGGAAGCGGTAAAGCAAAAAATGGCAGAGCTACTGAGGGCCCTCACCAAAGATGACTTCCAGCACTGCAATTTTATTTTTTGTGCGTTCATTCAATCATTTGCGAAATAATTGATTTGTGAAAACGATATTTCAGAAATAAAATGAATTCTACTCTACTCTATTTCCGAACTCCTACTTAACATTTCTTCACGAAAAACTCCTTTTATGATCAATATCAGCACGTTGTATTTTTTAAAGAGCAGATTCAAAATGCCCCCCAAAGAAAGACTTTTACGGAAGTTAAATCCGGTGATCTTAGAGTCCTAAGTCCTCTTCTCCCGATTCATCTATACGGAAATCTTTTATTCGTATGGAAAGAAAATAATAAGATGTAAGAAATCTTTCGAAGGTATGTTACACTCTGCATTAGGTTTAGCTTGTGAGTTCTCAGAGGATCGATAGTCCTTTCATGCATGTTAAGATATAGATTATTTGTCACATTTTCTACAAGAAATGAAAGATCAATATTGACACTTCCAAGATCATGAGGACAACGACAATTTAGGAATGAGAAAAAATGAGCAATCATAGCATATTATAGGAAGAAGATTGCGAGTGGCGTTGATTAGGTGGACAAGGTTTGACAAAACTGTATTTTTTATACAACTTTTGAAGTGGGTATTCTATTTTGCTACTGTTTGTAAAGAGCTTGTGAGCTCTGTAAATATTTCTAGGTCTCTGACCAAGCAAGTGATTTCAATAAACTTCATACCTTAGTTAATTTGAATATGTAGTTGTGAGAATCCATTAACAAAAAAAATCTCCACCATCATCTTCCACAATCAATTTTCTGAATTTTTCGAATATATTTTGTACAAAAGTATTTGAAATGAATATGAGATCTATTTTAATAAAAAGAAACTTTCTATTTCTCAAATTACATTTTTTTACAGGTTCACCAACTTTTCAAAGTAGCCCCTATCAATACTAATACACAAAGTATATAATTTTGTTTTATGAATAGCTTCATTCTAATGGCATTTTCAATCAGATTTTAATTGATTGACAAAAGTTATTTTTCAATATATCGAAAATAGTTGACTACAAGACTTGCTACATAAAACTTCTTACTTCTTACAATGCTTTATTTCAAACACGTTTTCTTCCATATCGCGTCATATCATAAAATTCAAATTGGTCTATTAAAATTGGGTTACATGTGATGCAAAATTCTTTTGTTTTATTGTTTCTTTGCCTGCAGAGGCGGACAGGCCATAAGCCACACAGGGCACTCATATTACCTACCAAGATAATTGAAATTTGCACGTGCTCCAAAACTATTCTCAACTTCTGATCTTATCACTGCTTTAGAATTCACAATCCAAACTTTACCTGCAAAAATCTCTGGTGACTTCAGATCTGATTGCAGAACAGTCAACTCAAGCTTCCAACCTTCGGGGTAATTTGAGTAAATTAGAATACATTGCAATTAAATGAAACGGTAATATTAAAAACAGTCCCGCTGATGAAGAATTCTCATGGAATACATTGATGGATGTATCCGTTACTACGTGGTAGGAGATCATAATGAAAAGAGAAATGAAAATTTCTATGTTTATCACCACTTTTAATTGTAACTAACGTTACTGCAGTTTCGTCCTATATGGACAATAAACTTTGTATAAGTTTGAGAATGTCTATATAGGACGAAACTGCAGTAACGTTAGTTACAATTAAAAGTAGTAAAAAACAGACATTTACATTTCTCTTTTCATTGTCATAGATATGAATAAAATTAACGCGATTGATTTCAGAGATAAAATATCAAGTACACCATACGAATTCCACTGTCACAACAATGGATGTTCAAAAAAATAAACTGAAAGGAAATCTGACGGAATCAGTGGAGCAATAAATACACAGAACAAAACATTTTGTCAAAAAAAAGAACGTACTCGACTCATTTCCTACTATAGTACACCTCTATATTTTTATGGTTTACCAAAGATTAACAAAAAAATTAGTCATTTGAGACCATTGAAAGTTCAATCGGATCTGCATGTCAAAAACTTTCGAAATATCTTCTCCAAATGTTTAAACCTTTAGGTATCTGGAAATTGTATTATTAATAAAAAAATACTTTTGATTTCATTGAAAAACTAATGTGAATATTACTTTTGTCGTTACTTGAACACAAGAAAATCCTTGATAAAATTCATGTTAGGGAGGAAAGTGATTAACCAACTTACTATTCTCGCTTTGATGATCAAAAAATCGACGAATAATCATGAATCGAATATTAATCAAAAGAAAACTCATATCTACCAATAGATATCTCCACTACAAATCTAATTATCACGCTAGTGTATTGATGTGTGTTCGTAATATTGAAGAGGAAATAACTGTAATTAAAACTGTTTTGATGGAAAACGCATATCCGAAACTTTCAGAACTACCAATACACTGAGATCTCTTCTTACGCTAACAAAACACGAAAATTCGGTTGAAAAAACGAAAGACTGTATTTACATTCTGCGGAAAAAGTTATGTAGGTGAAACTTTAAGATCCCTAGATGTAAGAAAAAATGAACATCATGAATACATAAATGAAAAAACAAATATTAAGATCGGGAACAGCAAAGCATATTTTGAAATAAACTGGTGATCACGCAATGAGATGGAATGAAACGAAAATAATCAGAAAAAAACCTCATGAAAAATCGAGAAAAACAAAAGAATTCACTTGTATATATATGGTAGGCAACTAGTGTATTTCAACAACATATATGGAAATGGATCTTACCTTACACCATTGCTGAGGTGAGAGGTTGACGGAAACATTCACCTGAACACAGACATTATGTGTGTGTTCTTGTGAACTGTCGAATATGACACCTTGACATTTAATTTCTTTGACATTTGTCAAAAGAAACACATATTTTGAACAGAAGCGTATTTGAAAATGAATTTGAAAATAGAAAAGGACTCTTTTTCAAAACTTCAGTCAGTTTGAAAAAGAAAAATTTAAAATATTTCATTTTTCAATCGTTACTTTTGATTGGTAAACCAAATAGAACTATATGCTCCTGCTCCTGAAGGATTCAGTTGTCTCTACTTTCCCAAAGGATGAAAAAATCTGAAAAGTGCGGACCCTTTCCAGATGAACACAGTGTAGAAGTTTGTTTACATTGTTGCAAAAAACATAAAAAGTATGCTGAAAATGTAATCGACACGGAACACAGAACACAATAGTTTATTTGAAAATAGGATATCAATATAAATTGTCAAGGGTGTGTAATGAAGTTTCCTGATGTGCAAACTCTTAGTTTTTCATCTGAATTGCACATATAATTTTAACAATTTGAGATGAAAGACATTTTTTTCATCTTTTGATCGAAACTAACATAAGGAGATGACAATCTATGAAATACGCCTCAAATAACAAAAATGCGATTTGACTGCTTTGAAAGGATTCTCATGATAATCTACGTCGACATTCACTGCATAAACAAAGACACTATAGGACTTTATGAATATTTTTTGTATGGGAATCATGAAATATTTATTAAAATAAATTGTGAGTACTAGGCGAATGGTGACATTCAAACACATTGTGTTTATTATTCTTAGATTTTTATAAGGCTACGTCTTACCATTTGTTTCACAAATGTCTTTGTATAAAATTCGACGAAGATGCACTAAAAAGTTGAAACATTTGGATACCACTAGTAACTCTCATATATAATAAAACATCACATTTTTTCTATTTCGCTGCAAATATTCATTTCTACGTGTACAATGAAGTTGATCTTGTTTTCTGTTAGAAAAATATAGAACTACACGAATATTTGGAAGCAATAATTTTTATTGTCAGCAAAATTTAAAACAAACAGATGTACTTATGAAGATTTTGTTCACACAAGAAAAGTCAAGTTGTTTTTTATCCAATCATGTTGAAGGTAGGTAAGTACCTANGATCACAATAACTAGGAAGTTATGATATTCAATTTCTCAAAAATCCCATTGTTTTGAAATATTCAAATAAAACTTGAAGTAAATCTAGAAAAAAATTGTTATCAAACATTATTTTGTTTTATTTTATTCGTCAAAGTGAAAGCAATAGAAAGGGAATACGACTAAAATAAGTGTCCCCACATATTATTTTCACTTATTTCATTAAGACAAATTAGTTTATTTTTCAGATTTTACAGAGAAAAATCTCAAATATGACATCACATTAATATTATTTACCTGAAATATAGTGATAATTATGAGTAGGGTATCCATAGTGAAATACGTCCTGATGATGGTCAGGTGGTGAGTTATTATAGGACATTTTCAACAAAGTTAACACTGGCACAAAATTTCCGAAAAATTGTCAACCACAATTATAAGTAAAGATACCACTTTCTAGCCCCAGGCTTTGAAGTACTAAGCTTTCGACTCTCGTGGTTGAACTAATTTCGGATGAAGGCGGAGCTTTTCATGAGAGGATCGGTATTGCTCACTAATAGGAATTTGGGAGGTTCCCGTCAGGAGATCCTCCTACAAAATCAATATCTAACTGAAATAATTCTGTAATAAATTTAATTACAAAGCTTTATCGCTATCGGTTTATTTTTAATTTAATGTATTTACGCTTCAGTCTTTCTCGGTATTGATCGACACGAATGTGCCATGTGAAATACAAATTTATTGACAATACCCCTAGGCTATTTTCAGTTGAATTACTTTAATACCTGAGAAATATAATGATTCAATTTTGTCACAAACGAAGTAATTTCATGGAGATTGGCTAGTTATATTTGCAAACTGTTTACGCAGATCAGAATATTTGCAATTTTTTTAACGAATTGCATGAATGTTAATGTTTGGGATTTTTCCATAGTTCGAAATTCAACACCGAAATATTTTCCATAAATCAAGAATATTTATAAAAAAGTAGTACCTATTGAAGAAGATACGGTAACTAAACACAAAATACAACATCGAAAAACATTAGGTATATATTTTTAACTGGATTCATATAAAAAAATTAAAATATTAGGGCATGATTTTAATTTTTCATGTTTAAAAACTATTCATAAACGCTCTTCAGCAGATTTTCACTATTTCTTTCACAATTCAAGAGACAAAAGTTTTATGAACTCCTTTAAGTTTCTTCATACATTATTTCAATATATTTTATTTTAACTACGATGAAAGTGTTTAGTGTTAGCAATTTATAATTATTTCGTAGACACGATATGGAAAATAAAATTAAAATAATATGTATTCATACCGATGAAATGTAAAGAAATTCTCAAATTGATACATATATAGAGACACGACATCAACAGAATAATAACCCTGCTCACTGCTTTCTGGTGGCTTCACATTTTTTTTTGAATTTTTGAAACGTAAACAACGTATTCTGGGAAATAAGTGAACACGTATGGTAATAGGTAGATCTGCTGATCATGCACGGAAGATTCTGTCAGATACAAATAGAAGGAAAAAGCCCTCCAGAAACAACCGTTTTCAAACATAACAAACATTGAATCTAACGGAAATCACTTTTTCAGTTACTAGATATTTAAAAACAACGTGCATGATCTACACCTTTTTTGTAAACAGGATATTTTCAAGTTAATTTTTCACGTTTTATGTATGAAAATGGAAAAGTAAAACAGTTGCCTACTCACAGGGCAATATACATCTGAATATACTTACAATGCGAAAATAAAAAGTAAATGAAGACACATAGATATTTATTATCTTATTTTACAACTTATTTTTCAATTGACACGTCAAGAAGAATACTTCGACCACGCCACTGAAGATGACTGCTGTAGTTGCAGCCGAAACGTTTGGAGATTATGACCAAAGAAGACCACGGCAAAAACCGTGAGCCAATGAAAACATTGACGCCAGCCGTGAACGCCTACATTCCTTTATCATTTTACAACTTTGATAAGATCGTTTGGGATGGTGAAAAATAAATCACAATAGGAGCAGATACTATTTAAATTTTCACACATTATGTAGATAATATATGTTCTTGTCTTCAAAGGTCTAATAGTGATTAGAGATTGATGGAAAAACAATGCTACGTTGAAGTCTCCTCTGTATATTATTCACTGATTTGAATGAAACAATTATTGATGCACAATTTTAACAGTATTATAAACAAAAAAGATCGAAACACCCATAGGTAGGTATTACTAATATTTATCTAAAGATATTGTATTTGTAGGTAAACTGAACTGGTTTTTTACTAGAGGTTGTATGTGTGCCTTTTAACTAAAGTAATTACTTCAATCCCTGGTACTTAGCAATTATTTTATTTCAATTGGGTACATGACAGCGAACAGATAGAACATGATATACAGGTAGTAGAATGCATACTACAGTATTGTTGCGGATTGGTTAAAAATATTTAAGATGAAAAATCGTATTCCCTCCACGAGAAACAAATCTTCGAGACAGTTCCATATGAACTACAATCTCGATACACATCTGAACTGCTAAGAAGTAGTGTTGTGAATTTTTGTGAGGTACCAGTATTTTTCATTATTTTTCTGCCTTTTCAGTGAAACCTGCATTTTGTTGCTTCAGTTTTGCTTTGTGTATACTTATTGGCTTTGCAGGATCTCGTGCTTCCCGCTGGGCTTCTACACTTTCATCAAATCATCAGAAAGGACCATTTTACAAGAACACGACGGAATCGGACCACGACATTGATATGAGTACGTTTGTTTTTCTCTTAGAATAAAAATTGAGCTTATACAACAGATAGATATGAATCGAAATGACAATCCCGAGGTGAAAAAAAAATGGTCTACGTTAATAATTGACAGAAGGCTGGCTGAAAATCGTCACTTCGGTAATAACTTGCTGATCGCTGTCAGCACAGAAACTCACTAGATCACATAAAGGTTCGAATTCATATTGTTTCATTTTCTTTGGAAAAAATGATATTAGGTCGACACGACCAGATTGTCACATTGTCGGTTTATCCTTTCCGGGCCTTGATCAGGCCATCATGCGCACCGAATTGGTCATTTTCTACAAAAATTGTCATAGTGACTTCACGCAAAATTATTTATAAAAAAATTAAACAGTCCAGTTATGTTGGAACTAGGTGAATAATAAATATTTACAAGGCAAAACATTTTGCATAAAATTCACAACTAGATTTGTAGTATATAGCGTACCTTTACTGAATTGGCCTTTCACTAAAGGTATATATTGAACATTCAAAGATGCAATAACGCCTCGTGAGAATAAACGAGTATTACCTTAATCTAATCCCTGTCCAGTTCTTATCTGCTGGTTTTTTCATTCAGGTTTGAAATATGCATTTTCATATCTTCGAAAATAATTTATCACCTAAGTATTTGAACGTTTAGAAAACATTCTCTGTATTCTTATGAGTCTCAATGAGTTAACAATACTTGTATATATTCCAGTTATGGACGTACATAAGTATAATACAATCCTCCCAGCTTTAATGATTTGAAAGTTCGTACAATTACTAACAATGAAACCAAATAACTTCCACTGTCCATGATGATAATTATCCAATTTCTACACTATGAATTTCCTTATTTTATTTTTTGAATGAATTGTATAGTGTAAAAATTGGATAATTGTTATCATGGAAAATGTTATTGATTTTCATCAAGTAACGGGTCAGTATATTCATAACATATAACTTTAGGAATCCTTAAATTTTTCATGATATAAGTATTACCCCTAGGTCTTAGATATCATTACGTATCTGTAGGACTGAATCTTGCTTAGCATAGCAACTTATAAAGGTATTTTTTTTGGTTTTACTTGTTTTACACTCCCCTGCATTAAGATTCAACCTATTATGGCTACACCTAGCATCAAGATGCCTGCTTTCTACAATTAGGTTTATTGTAAGTGACAACGTTCTGCTGCGATCAACATTTCGATTCTATTTAGGATCTTCGCAGATGAAAAAAAGATCTAACTGCAAATCGCACAATTCTAGTTGTAAATCTGCTCTACTCATATTTCCAACAAAAATAATAATGAATATTACTGGAGTTTTATCCCAACACCAAACCGTTATTTTTAACACCTCGACATGGGTTTCGATGGCCAAGTGATCATCTTCAAGAGGAAGATTGAACTAAATCTACATACAAATGACACGTCAAGGATAGTACTTCGACCACGCCACTGAAGATGACTGCCGCAATTGCAGTTGAAACGTTTCGAGATTGTAATCAAAGAAGACCACGGCAAAACCCGGAAAGTATCCAATACATTGACGCAAGCTGTTGAAGCCTACATTCCTATGAAATAATAAACTTTAAATTATACAAGGTCGAAGGATTTTGCTTCATATATCCCTACCAATGGGTAACCCCAACCTTACAAAAAGGCTTCAAAAAAGCTAACAGACCCATTCAACATTTAAGAAAAACATTCAACTTCATTTTACTTTCTGATGAACCTGGTATATGTAGCTAAAACTATGAAATAATTCATTTCCAAATTCCTAAAATCGTATTATTCATAATAAGTCCAATTAAAATGATCATTACGTTTGCAAAGTATCAAAGATGTTGATAATTTTCGAGAGTTTACGTTTATTTATACACCACTCACTAGATTAAACAGAATAATTGGTGGCTATGTAGAGTTCACTTAAGTTGATTAAAGCCTTCTGGTTTCTATCCAGATATGATCCGTGTCTTGTGCTAGAAAAGGGGAAATTCCTGATCTCACAGCTTCCGATTCACCGTTTATTTAGATCATTATTAATCTCCCCTATGTTTTCGGAATAGATTATTTTTCTTTTGATTTATATTTAGACTGTGCTACGCAAAAGGTTTATATTGGTTCTGCTGTTTTTATGTACTTAAATGGAAAACACAGGCGCCGTTAAAGTTGGTATATTAGTCAGAATCATTATGGCGATTCTTG